TCAGCAGGGCAGGGTGGGATAAAACTTATCCCCTCCGTATGGTAAGGAGAAAGTCAAGTACTCTTGATATTGAAATTTGGTGGACAGATATAAGGGAAAAAGAGCTTCTTAGGTAAAACTGGCTCAGGATATAGATTTACCTTCCAGCACTGGAAGGTTTCCCAAGAGTAAGAAGATGGTGGAACTGAGAACTGAACCACCAGCAAGTTTGGATTCTATTAAGGATACTCCTTAACGGCCCTGAAAGAATCTTTGTTCTGCTCTTGCTGTATAGTTTGCATATTCAAGGAAAAGGCAGGAAATTGAATGTTATGATTTTCAAACTCTAATAAGTATTGTAGCAAAATGGAACCAGGTGACAGGTAGGCCTTAGCAGGAAAAGACACGGTGGGGATATCAAAGCGAACATCTTTGGAGCAACTTGTTGTTTATATTCATAGAAAAAATAGACAGGATATTGTAAGAAATAATAAGACACTGGAAATTCTTTGCTTTAAACTTTCTCCTCTACATAACTGTTCTGACTGCCAATACATGGTAATTAGACTATGGTATGCCTAGAATGTCAGGTGGGTGATTCCACAGTTGGGCAGCTTTATATTTCTTTATCCTTTGCTTCTCTGTTATTGTTTTGTTGTGGTTTTTTTTGTTTTTTGGTGGTTTTTTTGCAGTACGCGGGCCTCTCACTGTTGTGGCCTCTCCCGTTGCGGAGCACAGGCTCTGGACGTGCAGGCTCAGTGGCCATGGCTCACGGGCCCAGCCGCTCCGCGGCATGTGGGATCTTCCCGGATCGGGGCACGAACCCGTGTCCCCTGCATCGGCAGGCGGACTCTCAACCACTGCGCCACCAGGGAAGCCCTCTGTTATTGTTTTAAAACAGTATAATTAGCTCTGAAGGGAACCACACAAAATGTACATGTGTGTTAAAACAGAGACAGTATGTATTTTAAAAATCTATTTTATCGGTTTTTTTCACTATAATCTAGTCACCTCAGATAACATTGGCCTGGAATTTCAGCAACAATTTGAGATGCCAACAACAGTTTTACAACAATGCATTCATGTAAAATTCAAATATATAGTTAGCACTAAGGCCAAGACTTATCGAATCAATCGTAGAAGAAAAATACCTGCAAATGAACTGTTTACACTGAAGATAATGCTGACTCTTAATAGCCTGTGTGGGTTGTAGAATGATGATGTTACTTTTGACTCATTAATATTAAAAAATATCTAAGCTCTACCTCTTCCTCCATTGCTCCAAACTAAGTAAAAATTCACTCATTTTTCTATAAAGTTATATAAGTTCAAATAACTAATCTGAATGTTCTTATCCAGTTATCCAGTTAATTTTATTTTACCTAGCCTACTTGCTGATCATCAGATGTCATACCTGGAAAGCTTAGGATGTGCTTTGGTGATGCCAGGCAAAAAAAAAAAATCTCTTTGAAAGATGAAAATCTCTCCAGATCACTCCATTTCTGGCATCATCACCACTAAAAAGGAGCTACTTGTTCCATAAGCGAGGACAAAAGATCTTTTGGTGGCTAGCTGTGCCTATGTCAGTCTGGCCAGCAGCAAATGTTATATGAGGCTAACAGTTTATCATCAAGAATTTTCAGGCACTGAAGAATGTGTATCTGCCTTTCTAAAAATTTATAATGCAAATTATGTTTACTGATAAACAGTATATATTAACAAAGGTAAAAATAGTGCAAAATATTTATAGCAAATATGTTTCCCTGAAGGTATCTGAAGTTTTATGAACTAAAACAACAACAAAAAAAATCGGTAAAAAAATCTACAAAAGGTCTTGCTGAATCTCTAAGTAACCTTTGGTAGCTAATTGTGAATCAAAATCTGTAGCAGCAAGAGGGATAATTATTTTAGAATTAGGAGTACAAGAAATTCAGTTCTAATCCACTCCCAGGCAACACTCTGCTTCAATGACTTAAGAACAGCAAGGAAATATCCAACTCCACGTAAGACCATCAGCTGGACAAGAATGATAAGCTTATGTTTTGTTCACTGTGGTATTTGTAGCACTTAAAAAAGAGCCTGGCACATAGGAGGGGCTCAATAAATATTGGTGGAGATAATTTAATCTTCAAAACCATATCTTAAGTGGGAGTTACCAACTCCATCCTGCAGATGAGATAATAAGGACTCATAAAAGGTAATTGTCTTGCCCAAGATCACAGAGCTATTAAGTCTGGAGGGGGTTCAAGACCAATTCCGTCTGTCTCCAAATTCCATGCTCTTTCTATATTAGAATTATATCTTTAAAAGATATCAGAATTGAATAATCTTTGACTCAAAAAACCTGTGGGAGTGCATGACTGAAGATCACTTACAATGTCTCTCAACAGACAAGAACTACTTTTTGGTTGAGCCTCAAAATAAACAAAAAGATTTTCACTGTGAAAAACATATTTTACTAAATGAGTTCTTTCCTGTGGCATATAGCATTCTGAATAATATTATATGGAGGAAGGGACCCACAAATGCAAAGTGCCTACTAAAGTCAAAAGTCCTAACACAGTCCTGTCGCATGCTACTTGAGTTTCAAAACAAAAATTATTTTCTTAGTCAGTTCACATTTTTTCTTAAATAAATATATTTAAAGGAAAACTTATGAGATTTATAAACTCTCATAAATGGAACACATTAAGAAAGATAACTACAAAAACAAATACAATGAAAACTAATTGATCTTAATAAATGTTTGATAGACATGTTTGCCTGTTTGATTCTGAGGCCTGCTAAATAGGGATGTTAGTCAGTATTAGAGGGGCATTAAAGACATACTAGAATGCAATACAGACTCTTCTAAATGAAATCAGAAGGACTGAAAGATAATTGAGGGAGAACTACCTTTTCACCAGGTGATTCAATACTATTTAATGCCAGGCCCCTGTACCACATAAATTATCTCACATACAATCAGAGACACACCTATGCACTGGAACAGATTATCTGTAAATTGTAGCTGTACCTTCTAAATGCTAAATTATTTGATTTATGAACAGGTGTTCTTTTGCCAGAAAAATGGAAAGACAGATGAGTAGGAAGTGTAGGTATTGATGGAGGAACTTAATGGTATTTAACAAGATTAAAGAAATGAATTTACATGACACAAGAAGGATCTGGACTTGCCTTGGGGAAAAATATTTTCATTATCTATGATGGCATTCAGTAGCCTATAAACTAAAGGGAAGTTTTATAATAAACTTTGCTGTGGAATAAATAGAAGGATAAAAATATATGCTGTGTGATAGTACAGAGCATAGTGGAGCGAATGAATTATGGGAGCACTCCAGATTACTTTAGAGCTCTAGCATCTGTGGCTGCAGTCACAGTGTACAACACAAAAAATATTAAACAAGATTTGAGGACTCTGTTCACCTGCCATTTCTCTGGTCTTTCTCCTTCTCTCCAAAGTATTTTTTTTTTTTTAAATAGAAGAGTACTGCTACCATACCACTTGAACAAAGATTAAAAATTGTTTCAGTGAACAGTGGGATACATGTATCTTTTTGAATAGCCAGGACATGGAAGCAACCTAAATGTCCATCAATGGAGGAATGGATAAAGAAGATGTGGTACATATATACAATGGAATATTACTCAGCCATAAAAAAGAACAAAATAATGCCATTTGCAGCCTCAT